AAAAAGAATAAAAATAATTTAATATGAATAATCAAATCATCTATTTCATTAATATTTCATACAAAATGAATACAAATGATAATAAAATATAAACATAAATATTTACATATTCTGTATTTATCATATTTTTTATTTATTTTTATTTTTTTATGAGCAAAATACAATAAATGGAATATTCTATGGATGCAAATTATTTTGCATCTTTTTTCTTTTTTTGTAAATTATTTAGATGCATTTTTTCTTTGCTAATTTTCGTACCCGAAATGAGAAAGTAAGGAATGAAATTTTAAAAGGAATTGAAGATAAAATGACAGACAAAAAGAAAACAATTAAAGTATGGAAAACAATTAATAATGTTATAAGGAATGTATATTCAAAAAACAAACAACAACAAATAATGGAATAAGGAAAGTAATTTGGAAACACGAACCAAAATATGTAATGTGTAATATCTGTAATAAAATAGTAACAATAAATCATAACATTCTCATTTGTATAATCACTAAAAAATCACAGATGAATAAACATAATAGAATAGGAGAATATATGTGGAGAGCATTAAAAATTGAATATGAAATGTATAAAGATGAAGAAATAAAGAAAAGATGAGAAGAAGAAAATAAAAAGAAATTAATAATGAGAAAAGAAGAATAGAGAAAGATAAAATACTTATGGTTTGGAAACAAGAAACAATAAATAAGAAGGATTTAAAGAAAAAGGATGGATTAATCATAGACATGACAATAGTAAGAAATAATGGTATAAGTAAAACATTTACAGATAAAATATGTATATGAAATTACAAGAATATATAAGAAAGATAGAAAGATTAATAAGATTAATAATCGTTCCATTCGTAATAACAGTAGAAATAATGATAAATGAAGTGATTAAAATTCCATTTGAAATAATGGTAAAAGATATTGTAATATCAAATATGAAAGATATTATGAAATACTGTGGAGAACATTATCAAGAATACAGAGATGAAGAAGAATAAGAAGAAATAGACTCTGGAGATGGTGAATGATGGGAAGAAATTCTCACCTGAACAATAGGCTAAAATCATTAATCATTAATTTATTACGTAAAAATTAAAACATAATTAATAGAACAATAACAAATAACTTAAAAATATAAAGAGGTATATCAATGAAGAAAAGTTATAAAATAAAACCAAACACATCATACTAAAAATAATTTGTTAACGTTTTAAATCATAAATAATTATAAAAAGTCATATATATTGAATAAAAATGAGAAATGATTGGTATAATGGATATTCAATAAAAGAAAAAATACATAAATGGAAAACAGAAATAAAGATGATTAATTTGATAATACCAACTAAAAATAAGTATTATTTAAAGAGCGTATGGTAAACTCTGATGAAGAGAATTTTCATAAACATATTATTATAATAGAATAATTGATGAAAACTAATACAAATTCTAAATCCATACAGTAACATGTAATAATGTGTTATAAACCGATAAATCAATAAAGATAAAAATACAAAATAAAAGTATTTATATACTCATTTTTTATAAATAAAGGAAGTAATAAAAAAGGAGAATGTCATTCTTATGCATAACTTTTTAATTTGATATGAAAAAATGAAATTGTTTTTTTTTAAAAAAAAGATATGAAAAAATACCATGCAGAAATTCTTAATCATTAAATATATGTTTATGTGTATAATTAAGAAAATAAATATTTTTTTAGACTAAAACTAACTCATTGTTAATAATATTACACTTTTTGAAACAATCAATTAAAAACTGAGTGATTGACTTATCTAATATATCTTTTGTGAGTTTTGAAAAAGAATATTAATCTTTTTATTTGTATAAAAATGTAATACCCTATCTATTAAAATATCTTATTTCATTATATAACAATGATTATCTTCAATAATACAACCAATAAATTCAGTTATATCAATTATAATACTTTAAAAACAGAAAAATAAAATCCAAATAATTCAACCATAATCAGACGTGCCACCTTCGATCTTAAGAGGAGTTAATAATAAAAAATAAAAAAAAAGAAAATGTTATTAAATTAACAAAAAATTAAAAAAAATAAAAAAAGGAAAGAAAAACTGGAAAATAAATTGAATGTCAATCAACACAATGTTCCCTCCTCTTTCAGCAAAAGGGGGAAAAAGAAACAGAAATAAAGGGCAACAACAATCTCAACAACAAACTTTTCAACAACAGACGCCACAAAAAACTGAAAAACCTGCTGCTAAAGTGGAACAACCTCCTAAACCTTCTCCTAGCTTCAACTTACCTGATCTTCCTCCTGAAACATGTCAATTAATTGCTGATCTAGCAGATATTGAAAAACGTCTTGACTCTTTAAACGCTTTATCAGTAATTGCTGATAAGCACCCAGACCTAGCTATTCCTTTGTGGTATTCATATGGTACAGTTGTTATTTTACTTGAAGAAATTGTTAGTGTTTATCCTTACATATCTGGTAAACACAAAGAAACTCTTGCTGTATCATCCTATTCATTGATTCAAAGAGTTTGTAAAGCTTTGGCATTACTCCAAACAATTGCCTCTCATCCAAAGACTCAACACTTTTTGATTGGAATTGATATTATTTATTTTTTGACTCCAATCTTCGCTCTCACTCAAGTTGAAAGAGAAATTGAATATTTACGTTTAACATCACTTGGAGTCATAGGGGCTATGTCTAAAACTCGAGACCCTCAAATTGTTAAATATTTAATGGATAAAGAAGTATTGATGATTTGTATTGTTTCTATACAACATGCTGCAGAAATATCACGGGTCATTGCTACCTTTATTCTTTCCAAATTATTTAGTGAAAGTACTGCGTTAGAAAATGTTTGTGAAACACCACAAAAGATTTTATCAATTGCCAACCTTCTTTGTCATTCAATCGTAACAACTGTTATGCAAAAAAGAGATGTCAACGGTCGTCTTGTTCGTTATTCTTTGGATTGTTTAAATCGATTATCAACAAATCCAAAAGCAACACCTCAGCTCCACTCAGTTGTGACAGAGTATAAAGGGCTTTTCAAAGACCATCTTTTGGAATATATAGTAAGTAAAGAACCTAGTTTAAAACCAAAATATGATGAATTTTGTAGAAATATCAGTTTTTCTCCAAAATGAGTTGGGGATTATTCTTGTCTCATGTTATATAAGGTGGATTTGATTAAATATTCTTTGGTTATTATCATCTCTTTTTCATTCTCATCAAATCATCTTTCTTCATTAAAACTATAAAAAATAATTCTTTTATTATTAAATCATAAGAACTTAAAAGGGTTTTTCTCTTTACTTAAAAAAATAGTACTAATAGATAATTGAATCAATGTCAGCTCCACAATGGTTTGTTCCAGTTAAAGCAGGTGATGCTAAAGTTCCAGCTTATTACCCAACCGACGATATGATTCAAGAACAAAAGAAGAAATTAAGAACAAGAAAAGGAGCTAAAATAACAGCTCTTGATAAACCAGCATGGAATCTTGAAAAGTTGAGAAAAAGTATTGTACCAGGTGCTATTCTTATTATTGTTGCTGGTAAATATGCAGGAAAGAAAGTTGTTTTCTTAAAACAATGTATTAAATCAGGAGCTCTTATTGTTACTGGACCATTCAAAATCAACGGAGTTCCATTAATGAGAATTAATCAAAGATATGTTATTGCTACTTCTCAAAAGGTAGATGTTTCTAAAGTTGATACTACTGGTGTAGATGTTAAATTCTTCAAAAAGATTGCTATTAAGAAAGCTGCATTTGGAAAAACCGTTGAAGAAGATTTTGCTAAGAAACAATATGAAGCTAAGAAAGCATTAATTGTCGAAAAACAAAAACAAGTAGATGAAAGTGTTGTTGCAGAAATTAAGAAAGTTCCATACCTTAAAGAATATATGGCTTCTTACTTCACACTTAAGAATGGTGACCATCCACATCTCCTTAAATTCTAAGTTAACTCAATTAAATCTTGAAATGATTCTTTTGTTCTAATTTCACAGTTCTTTTTCTTTCTAATAGTAAATAAATAAAAAATTAAAGAAAAGATAAAATCAATTATTGACGTTCTGG